GGAATGCTGACAAATTTGTGAACATGCCACAGTTTACAGCTAGCTGGCTGTGTGTGTGTGTGTGTGTGTGTGTGTGGCCCACCCATTGTTATAATTATTGGGCGCCCATGTACAAGTGACAATTCAACTTTGACTGGCATTTGTAGAGCACAGTGTGCAACAAGCTGCATGCAACATGTGTTCCAAAAACCTCTTGCGGCAACTCAAACAGCTGCTGCCGAGCTCTGCTCCGAGCGACCAGCTGCCAGCCCAACAAAGCAGCCAACAGGTGGGCCAGACACTTGCCCACCTTTCGATAATTCAACGAACTTAAGAATTATAGGTTGATTTATATCAATTGAAATCAATCTTTATACATCTCCACATTAGAGAAGGTAAATTAGAAGTAGTATTAAATCGAATTTATAGCTGTTCCTCGCCTCCATTTCAAATTAGCATTTGAGCCTATTCACTAGGCTTTAGCAGACTGTTCTAGCTTATCAGAAATCAAGGTTATATCCCTAACTAGGCCTCTCTAATCTTGGCCTACCTCTGTTGAGCTGATAGTAATATCGCAACATCGGGTTCAGCATCCAGATAGGTACATATTTCCTGATAGAGATTAATCCTAACAGAGCCTCACATAATCGATAGTTCCGTAAAACTTTTCTTCGAATGAAAATTGCTTTATAATGTGGAAGATCTAGAATTATCGAAGCTAATCTTAAAGTATATCAGGATATGAATAAACCAATATAGCTAACCATCAGCTGTAGGCTGTTAGGAACATAGCTACAGCTATATATAAGTACAGTGTATCAAGAAAAACTACACATGAAAAGAAAAATCGTATTTAGCATTTTATTAAAATTTACATCTTTTGTTTAATGATTAGGTTCTTAATAAAAAATAAAATTAAAGTAGATATGAGCTAAAAAACTTTACGTAAAGTACTTCGAATTGAAAACAATTTAAGTCAATTTGATTGTAATACTAAGCGTGAAGACATTGTTGTAAATCAAATCAAAAGTATCAGAAATATTCAACGTAATTCGTATCCAGAATAATATCTTGCTCTTCAAATAATTTAAACAGCGAGCCCCTATTGCTATTATCATGAGCCCAGATTTCAATATATATATATATATGTAATATATTTGCCAAATTACACAACAATCGACCCAATCGAGTTAGTGGACTTTATGTAAATAATACTTTAATTAAAGGCTAGTTAATAATGTAAGTGCAATTGGAATAAGCGTACGGAATTTTTCAGTTATTGCTTCTTAAATTTAAAATATAAAAAAGTCAGTTCAGGTATAAGTAATGGCATTAGATTAACAACTCTTAATTTTTGATACCTGTTTTAATTTGGACTTCATAGATCGTTTTAGCTGTTAACCACTGTACATGTAAAATTGTTCTCACTGATTCATTGATTTCGTATTGAACTGCAGATTTACATACATATGCATGTAGATAGTACATAGATTCAGCTTGACATCTAGAACAGATTTTAAATCGACAGCTCTCATGCTAGGAGCGTATAACATTCACATAGAGATTTGTGTCGATTGGGATATTCCACCTCGGGAGGAGAGGGTAAGAGATTTCTCCTTATATACATACATACATGCATACATATATATGTATATAGACTTATTGGTAGTCGCTCTTTGCGCCTTACTGCCCTACTACATGCTCGGCCCACACACTTTGCCCCTCGGTGCATCGGTGCATCGGTGCATCGGTGCAGTGGCGACTGCTTCGCCGTCGAGGTTGCCTGTGCACTAATTCGTTTTCACACTTTTCATGCGCGAGACAGGCTTGGAGTAGCCGAAGGGGCCGATGGCTGCAGCTAGCGCCTAATTTCATAGACCGATCGCATATCGGGCTTTATGTCTACGCCCCTCCGTTCCCGGCAGCCGGCGGTGCCAGCTCACTAATATTTATATTTGCCCTGCATTTCTTTTGCACGATGCAAGCGATTTGATAAGCAAATGGAAATGCAGCTCCAACTGGGCCAATGCAGGCCGCAGCCAGATGGAGGCAGCGGTGCGGGCAGGCGACAGCGGTGTCTACGGCGGTGGCGGCGGCGGTGGCGGTGGCGGCGAAAGGTGCGAATAAATAATTTTCAGTAGCCAGCACTCGACGACCCACTGCTGGAGCTGGAGACCAAGTCTAAGACTCTGAATGGACACCGGGCCAGACAAATATTTTATTGCAAATTTGCTGATATTGAACGACAGGCGGCCACTGCCTGTTGCAGCAGTTGCCCGCCTGTTTTGCATATTAAATTTATTTTATTGAATATAGACAACGATATGGACAGATAAACGAGCATGGACTCAAAAAGTATTCGGATTGGAAGAAAGTCGCGAGCAAACTGAGCTGTGGTAACAATAGCGATAGACAATTGCACTGAGTTATCGCATATCGATGCTAAACAATAATGATGAACTGTACTGCATACTTATAAAGCTGATGTGGAATTTTAATGAACTTGTAATTTGATCTTATTTTTTCAGTTTATATAAGTTAATGCATGATACAACTCCAATAAGAAAAGGAAAAAAGTGGAATACATGTATGTATATTTAAACCTGCTGCTTAAAAGGCCTAGCAGGATTATTATTTAATTATAATTTATTATTATTAT